TTAGTGCCTTGAGAACAGAAACACCACACCAGAAAAAGCTTAGTTCACATAGTATATAAAAAAGAATTTACCGTAGTTTTAATATTTAACTAGACTCGTGCTCGTGCGTTAAATGGAAAATAAATTATTATAATTAATAAATTTTATTTTAATAATTAATATATATAAAATTGTGAAAATTAATTGAACTCAAAGCAACATGAAGAAAAATATCTGAATATACAAATAAAACGTTTATGATAAACGATTGAAAACATTATAATATGAAGTACTTTTGTTTCGTAGGATTTTAAAAGATTTTTTTTGAGTAAAAAAGTCTATTGGTATTCAATCAAGATTTTATGTCACTTAAAAATAATCCAATAGTATTCAATCTGAATTTTCAAGATTTTTTAAAGAGTCCATTAAAATCCATTGGTATTCATTTGAGATTTTTTACAACTTAAAAACAATCCATTGGTATTCAAAAATATAAGGATTTTAAAGGATTGTTGTGTGAGAGGGATTTTGAAGGACTTTCTAGTGTTATCTACAAATACCAAATTCATAAAACAATTCCATCCAAACCCATCGGATTTTGAAGGATTGTTTGAAGTGACTTTTCAAGAATTTTCAAGTGAGTTTTTTATCTTTTTTTTCTCTATGCTTTTGTCTTCTCCATTTTTTCTCTGCATACTGCACTATTGTTCATTGCTCATATATAATATTGTAATACTGTTCTCATCCCATTCCCCTATTTTGTGAAACTCCGATATGTAAATGATAGTGTCATTGACTTGCTCTATTTTTTTGTTCGTTGTCTTTAATTCACTTGCTTTATTTTATTCTATGTAGTTGAATTTGTTCCTTTATATAACACAAAAAATGCTTGAAATTTTAACTTTTAAGTGGTAATTTTTTTTATAACACACGTAAAGAAAAGAAAAAGGTGAAAGATGAAATTGATATCATAATCTCTACTATATATATATAAGATGAATTTATTAGGGTTTCTGTGAGTAGAATGAGATGAAAATGGACCTTAGTTGGGGGAAGAACCCTCTCAGCATAAAAACTGTGATCTCTTTCCTTCCCTTAAGTTTGTTACTCTTATCCCTCCTCCTTTTATGACTCAACAATTATTATATTTTTTTTACTATGAATTTTTATTTTTATTTTTATATTGTGAAATTAGGACTTTTTATATTTTAAAAAAAGAAAATTAACATAAGACATTGCAATATCAAATTTTTTAGGGTTTAGGATTTATGCCTTCATTAACTTATTTTTTAAAAAAGAAAATATTGTTAAAATATTTGTTAGAATAATTTATATTTATAAATATCGTTAAAAATTATCATATATATATATATATATATATATATTCTCTATATCTAAATACTTCTGTTTATATAAAAAAAATTATATATCTAAATATTTTTTCAGTATCGAATATACTAATTTTTTTATATAAAAAATTATCTTATGTTTCTATATTTTCGTTTTTACATTTTTTTTTCCATTTTTATTTAAGACACAAGTAGAACTTGTATTAGTATGTGCAGCACTACATAACTTTCTACGTAAAGAATGTCGTTCCGATGAATTTCCAATTGAAGCGGTGGATGAACCTTCATCTTCAATGTTACTACTTAATAAAGATCATACTTTTGAGCCTATTATTCAAATCTAGGAGCAAAAGCGAAAAGATGCTAATGCTTGGAGGACTAGTATAGCTATGAATATGTGGGTGAATGTTATTTAAGAGGATAAAATATTATGGAGAATTATTATTATTATTATTATTTATCTAGACATTATTGTTTTTTTTATTATTTTTGTCTTTGACTCTTTTTAAATTTGAATGTATGAAATTTTTTTTGAAATCTTATCAAATGTAAAAAATCCAGAAAATTCTACAAAATCCCATAGAATCCATTAAAATCCTAATTTAAAAGTCTTGCAGAATCCATTAAAGTCCTGATTTTAAGTCTTGTAGAATCCTACAAAATCTTAAAAGTCATGAAAATTCTGCAAAGTCTTTTAAAATCCGCAGGATTTTTTTTAACTAAAAAATTCCTTTAAAATCCTAATCCAATATACCCCCCTAAATTGCATTGTGTCTCAGCTTCAAAAACATCAACATCTACAATATGAGCTAATGCATTAACCTAAAGGAAAAAAACCTTATAATTAACTTATAAGAGGTGTAATATTAAAATGCTATATAAATGTAGTAATTCAAATAGAAAGGAAACAAAATTAAATTTTTACCTTATACAGTAATTATGTAATGACTCCTGAACACATTCATCATGAAAAATAAACTTGGTAAAATGCTTGAAAAATTGGTAAAATTAGAACTAAAGCACGCATATTTTCCTTTTATAATGTTATTATTAAAAAAATGCAAGTTACTTGTGTCAGAGTTGAAAGACTTCTTTATAAACTACATTAGTAATAAATGTCGAACCATTTATCTCATCGTCACAAATAAGAATTTTTAGATCACTGCAAGATGTGACTCGAGATATTGTGACATATAATTGGCCATGTGAAAAACGGGTTGTGGAAGATAGATGACAACATGCTTCAATAATTGTCCTTGGCTTTTATTTATTGTCATGGCAAAGGAGACATTTATTGGAAATTGTCTATGTTGAAATTTGAAAGGAATTCTCTTATATGATGGAATTAAGGACAATCGAGGAATAAAACCCTTTTGTCCAATATTACTGCCTGATATCACTTTTGCCGCCGAAACATATTTACCTAATTGATTTATGATAAGTCTAGTTCCATTACACAATCCAGAAGATTGATCTATATTTCTCAACAACATTATCAGAACACCAACTTTCAATTTTACCTCATGATTTGAAAGTTTAGAAGTAGTGATAATATTAAGGAATTCAGGAGTATAAACATTATTAGGTGTACCTAATTGCCCTTCAGTAAAACATGTAACACAAAGAGAAAAAAATTATGTATAAATACTTTTCATTCATGTTAAAAAAAATATTATCAAAAGAAAAAATTGACGATAATTAGCCTTAAACAAAATGATTTGTATATACAAAAATGACGGTAAGTTTTTTTTAAAAAAAAATATTGAGTTGTAAGATTTGGTTAAATAGAAAAAAATTGAAAGATTTAAATCAGACTAATTTCATTTGTTTTAAAATAACGTTATTATTTGAATTATAATAGGTAAAAATAATTAAAAGAATAAAGGGAAATAATACATTAGCTTCTAAAAAATAACATGCATGCAGAAAAATTTATCGATGTCTTTACTAAGATCATTGACTCATTGTAATTGATTCTGAAAACAATATTTTTACTAATTATATTTTTTTTTTGTAAAGATGAAAATTTCAAACAGAAGCAAAAACAAAAACTACACTATCCAATAATAAAATTTATAACTGTTATAATTTATGAAGAAAAAAAACCTCTTCATCCACCAAAATCATCTCCAAGGAATTTCTTTGCAATGGATTCTTAAACTCTAGCAGCCTCCACAATCTTATTATACGAATTCTTATCTTCCAATCAATTTTTTCCGCTGCAATGTCCTTTAGTAATGTAAACCTTTGGGCATGTTCTTTAAAAAGAAGATGAAAGTAAAAAAGATAAAATTTGTAATAATATCTTTGCTAATCATATTTTTTTTTGTAAAGATGAAAATTTCAAACAGAAGCAAAAACAAAAACTACACTATCCAACAATGAAATATATAACTGTTATAATTTATAAAGAAGAAAAACCTCTTCATCCACCAAAATCATCTCCAAGAAATTTGTTTGCAATGGATTCTTAAACTTTGTTAGCCTCCACAATCTTATTATATGAACTCTTATCTTCCAATTAATTTTTTTCGCTGCAATGTCTTTTAGTAATGTAAATCTTTGAGTCATGTCCTTTAAAAAGAAGATGAAAGTAAAAAGGATAAAACTTTTAATAATATTTTTACTAATAATATTTTTTTTTTGGTGAAGATGAAAACTTCAAACAGAAACAAAAACAAAAACTACACTATCCATTAATAAATTTTATAACTGTTATAATTTATGAAGAAAAAAAACCTCTTTATCCACCAAAATCATCTTTAAGGAATTTGTTTGCAATAGATTCTTAAACTCTGGCAGCCTCTACAATCTTATTATACGAATTCTTATCTTTCAGACAATTCTTCCCGCTGCAATGTCCTTTAGTAATGTAACCTTTTGAGTCATGTCCTTTAAAAAGAAGATGAAAGTAAAAAGGATAAATTTTTTAATAATATGTTCACTATACATCAATATTGAAACAACCAACCTTTAAAATTAAAACTTCATATAAGCTTACCTAAAAATGGTTTTCCTATGATTGATAGAGAAAGTGTGAATCATCATATTAGAAGTACAAAAGTACCCAAATTAGAAAGTGGACAATATATATATATGAAGAGAGTATTTTTAGAAATAAGGAGTATGATGGAACTAGGCAATCAGAATGAAGTTTTGAAAAGAAAAATGCTTTAAAAATTAGAGAATAGTTAAAATCAATTGGCATTGAAAAGCTGCACAACCAATACATAGGAAATAGATATTCATAATTGCTTCTCTGAGTGGAAGACAAAATGCAAACAATTTGATGGGAAATGTATAAAGCAGAGAGGAAGAGGAAAGATTTTTCTTATGTTTAAAATTTATTAAAATAAAAAAATAAAATTCAGAATAATTATGATAAGATAAAATTACATAAGTACCCTTATTTTGAACGTGAAAATTTTTTTTACATACTTCCTTCCTTTTATATAATAAAGATTACTTCTTTTAGCTAGTAAGTTCTGTATATTTAATTTTCTCGAGAATTTTATTGTTGTTGTCCAATGAGATTGACGTAACCTTACCTGAAGATCTTTTTTTAAATGGGTCGATCTTAGTGGTCTTTATATACAGAACTGTCTTTGTCGGAGTTTTCGAATGCACATAAAAGGTAAAACATCAACATTCTCCTTCGATTCAAAGCCTTAAAAGTTTGCAGAAAAGCATTGGTTCCAAAAGGGTAAATTCTTTTTCTTTCTTTTTTTCTCATTTTAATTGTCTTCTTGGAATAAATCAACAATCACCATTTTTTTTTTATCATTTTCATTTTGAAATCAATTTTAAATTCGTTTCAAATACCGCATTAGATTTCCGGAGCAAGAAACAAAAACATAATCTAACAATATTTCTATGAGATATTTGAATAAAGTTGGGGACTTGAGACACATTATTATTTCACATATAAATGGCTATGATAATCATTTGAAGCTCATTAGAAAAATTTGATGCTTCTTTGACATGCCATTTTCAAGGGAAAGCGTGGAATATTGAAAGCCCCAGTAGAGATTAGATCAAAGACAACCTTGTTGGCTGCTTCAGTGAAGTGGGTCCCATCCCATATCACTCTAACAGATGGTTTTGGACATGAACCCACGAAAATATCAGTGCCATTCACCTTTATGGTTCCTCCACATCCAACACTATTGCTGAAGTTGTACTTCCCTCCATAACCACAACAACTAACAAGTGGTTGCTCAAATCCTGCACGTTAATGAAGCTTTCAAATAGTCACACACATTGCAAATTATGCACAAAACTTATATACAATATCATATATATAGGTATAATTGATGTTGTTTTCCGATATTAATTAGATTTTACTTTAGTGATATGCATTTATATTTGATATAGACTTCAATAATATACGTGATATAATGAGGTCATTTTGATTTTGATTTGGCTCACCATATTTCTTTGGGTTGCTGAAAAGAGAGTACTTAGCAGAGAAGATATCTACATATGTGATTGCAGCCAAAGGAAGCTCCTTACGAAGTTGAGCTAAGGCTTCCTTCAAATTCTGGTTAAAATACTGACACACATCATTATATGGCTTTGCACAACCATAAGCATCTCTTTCAGCGGATAGAAAATTGGTCATAATTTGAGGGAGGCAGCCAAGGGGTCCTGTGTTGTGTATCCAAAGTGATCTTGCACCCAAGTTGTAGATGTTCTTCATGACACAAAGTTTGACCAATTTAGCACAATAAATTGTGAAATCTACTCGCTAGAAATATAGGTAGAAGGGTATTTATTATGCAACTACCTTGATATTTGATGCGAAAGTTGAGACAATATCAGGTACAGATGCATTGAGTTGCTGTAGGGTCATGTTACTAAAAAAGCCAGCTGTGAGGTCATTTTGACCAATATCAAATGTGTATAATGCTCTAGCAAAGTACTCTTCTTTGGGCATCAATGTCGCAAATACCCCACCTTCCATAAAAATTAAAATCATTACAAGATCAATATCATGTATCTTTATTGGACCACAGAATTAATCACCAGAAGATATCAATCAAAATAAGTAATTAATTTACATACCTTGCTTTCTAATCAACTGTGTTTTGGTTTTAAAACGTTTGAATTGTGTGAACTGAATTCCTAGGTTGAAAGGGCTGAATTTAAGCTGAGATTGACCTTGTAGGGGTTTGATTGTGGATCCTGCTGTTGCAAAGTTTGCTCCAGTTGAGAAGTTGGTCCCTAGTGAATCAAGATATGGACTGATATAAGGGAGTCCAAAACTCTGTGCTGAAATTACAAAGTTATGGAACAACATAAGAGCTCAAATCCTTTAACTAGGTAGCAAGATGCTTAATACATAATTAATTTCTTCATATGACGTGATCAGAGCTTAGACTATATTTTGGTTTAATCTAAAGGATTTAATGTTCATGATTTGACACCTTTAAGAAATTAGTTCCGAATTAGAAACACTTTTAAAAATTTATTCATTGAAAATAAAAAGTATTTTTTGATAATTTTTTTTAAAAAATACTTTTAACTTATATTCAAACAAGTTCTAAATCGATTTTATATTGTCTTCTAATTACAATCTCTTGGAAAAGATAAGTTTGTTAATTTTTATAATAATTATATTCAAAATCATACAAAACATGATTTTTGATTGATTAACTTTGTGAAACTTTTTATAGTCAACTCATTGCCATTAAATGTGAATCTAAAACGATGTATATCCTATCATGTATTATTTTTATTTTACAACAACAAAACTCATACACTTCATCAGAGATCAACAAAGCAATACATTATGGAACATAATGATAAATAACCGAACCAGCATGGGTAATAGCTTCCCTATTAAGGGTGTCACTGTGTCAGCAACTACATTAACTTGTCTTCTCACAGACTCAACGCAGAAGTTTGGAAACAAGGATAGAATGTGTCTAGAACTTGAATCTTATCCATCTTGTATCATACCCTTGATACACTGATTCTCATACGATATTAATTTGTATAATTTATGGTAGATAAGTAGATCCTTTCCTAAAAGTCTGAAACTTTTTCCTTCAAGCGATGGATCTATAGTACCCATCAAGCGTTGACCAACCCCTTTATGGTTCGACAAGAAAATATATTGTTGGTGAAGAAGGGTACAAAGAAAGAATAAAAGGCAAATGAATGATACAATGATAGTGACCTGATGAATTTTTCTTTTGGGAGAGTTACACATTTTCATTACTCAACGTAGATCTTACCACGTGGTAGTGATGTGCTTATTATATATATTCATACAAATACAAGACAATATTAGACATGTAAAAAGAGAAATTGAAAGAATGTTACATACCAATGAAATCAAGAATGATTCGGCCATCAGAGAACCTTCCAACAGGTGTATGAAAATAGGTCTCTCCATATGGTGGCGGCACTGCCAAAAGGGAAGCAGCCAAGCCACCAGTGTCTGAGTTTGAGGCTCCGAGGTTAAAGATTGCAGGAAAATCACAATGTTCTGCGGCAGTTACGGTAGTTGCAACAGATAAAACTAAAAGCACAAGAGAAGACACAACTGGGATGTGAAACTTGGTTATCATAGGAAACTCCATTAGAGACAATTAATAATATTTTGGTGAGACACAGAGGAGCTTAAGCCTTCGTAACTATATATATATATACAAAGAGAGAGTGGTTGAGTGAGAGAAAATAGGTTACGTCAGTTACTAAAAAAAAATACACTTTCAATTTCATCACAAATCATTGTAAATCATCCTAATAATAGTAATTTCTTCTTAAGCTATAATGACAAGGCATATAAAACTCAATTAATATGAAGAAAATAAACTTAATAGAATGATATATTTATTACATTTAATAAATTAAATATTATAAAAGTAAGTTATACATAATATATCATATTATTAACAAAGTTAATTACATATACTTAAAAAAAATTAATATTATATAATGACGAACTACTTTACCTCTTATTTTGGTATACATATACTATATTATTTATAGGTTAAAAACCTCTTTTGGTCCCTGATAATATTTTTTTATTTTAATTTAGTCTCACTTTAATTTTAGGTCTCAATTTGGTCTCCAATAATTTAAATCATTGCAATTTGGGACTTCCATCCAAATGATTAAACGGGGTTAACTCTTACTGACGTGGATGTCAGGTGGATGCCACGTAGATGCATAGGTGGATGCCAAATGTCATGAATACACCTGGAACCAAAACGGCCCGTTCTGCATGCACATGTTATGTGTTAATTTTGCAACTGGAACCAGAACGGACCGTTCAAAATGCAAATTTAACACAACATGAGTGCAGCAGAACAGGCCGTTCTGAAACTAGAACGGGCCGTTCTGCTGTTAGAATGGGTCGTTCTGAATTTAGAACGGCCCGTTCCAGAACGTCAACTTCATGCTTTTTATTTACTCCATATCATACCCGTCACATAGATGCACATGATGCATGTCACACACTCACACTTTATTAACTCATCATTTCACTTGTCATAGTTACTCATATATCATGTCTCATTGTCACATATCATGTCTCCTATCTCATATTCACTTTTCACATTGTATCATCATATTCACATAGTGACTTCTCATAGGCATATACATCAGAATAGCGTACAAACCATAACAGGAAATTATTCAACTTCATATACACATTCAATTCGCAATTCATAACATATGAAGCATAAAGGTCATAAACCCAACTTCATGATTTCACACATTTTTTTTTACAACTATAGCCAAGTAATATAATATTTTAATAGGTCAAAACACTCCAAATGTTACCCAAAACACGAATCCATCATCAATATTTTATACAATGCCTCAAAATTCATCCAAAGATCATATCGTTAACTTCACTTCATAGGTTTCCCACAAGAACCCACAGAACACTCTAATTCATATAAAAACTTTTCTATTTTTGAAATAAAACACATATTTATACTCAATTATCATCAAGGAACACAACAAAAAACTCAAAAGTCAAAACAAAAAACATTCAAAATTTGCCTATTTCTCATAGGATATCCCGTAAGAATCCATAGAGCACTCTAATCCATATCAAAAGTTATCTATTCTTGAAATTGAACACTTATTCACACTCAAAATCACACAAGAAACACAACAGAACAATCAAAAAGCAAAACAGAAAACTTTCATAAAGTGTCTGTTTCTATCGGGCTAGGATAATCCTGCTACCAACAGTTATTCTCATACCCTCAAGTGAGGTTTCTATCTCCCCCTTACCTTGTTGAGTAGAAAAAGATGAATGATCAACTCCAGGGTGATTTCCTCCTCCTTCAGGTTCTCCGAGTTCTGAAGCACGTACGTGAAAAGTGAAAAACCTAGAATCTGATATGTTCTTTTTCTCTTTTAAAAACTTAACCTCTCTTTAACCCTTTTAGTAAAAATACTTTAATCATGATTATCTTTTTCTTTCCCTCAAATATTAAAACTTATAATTAAATAATATATCTAATAAACATATTTCTTCCAATCCAAATAATTATAATAAAATACAATATTTAATAATTAACAAATATATAATATATAAAATATCTTCCAACATAATTATAATTAAAATGAAATATATAAATAAAGATTTCTTGTGAAAGTGTTTGTAAGTAATTCTTTCGCAAATCCTTACAAAATAGTGAGGGAGCACCTTCCTTGCAACTCCGTCACAAATTAAATAACAAATCCCTTACAAATTATTTCTTTGTATAAATTTGAATAAGTATCATCCATGGAAACATTTTTATAGGAACTATTTTTTAATGATAATGTTTTCATATGCTCTTCCAATGTGTGTATTTGAAATTGTTTTTTTTTTTGGGTGAGTATGACATGGGGGAAACTATTTGCTGATTTGATGGTTGTAGAATCTAATGTTGAAGAGAGGCTAGTGTTAGCAATATTGTGCAGTGCATCTCTAGTGATCAGTGTGGAGAAAAGATACACACTAGAAGAGAAGTTAAATAGTGTGATGACACCCTCTACCCCAACAAGCATATACAATAATTATTAAAATATATTCTTGGAGTAAATAAATCTTTTGGATTAAAATAATGGATCCACTAACATAAGAGTAGAGAATTTACATTCATAAACATAAATCATGGTCAAATGCGAAATTTACATGAAACTAGAACATGAGTTTTTCCAAAACAAAATAACAATAATGAAATCCTAAACTAAGCCTAACTATACCCCGATGTCACATATCCTATCAGAGCATGCCCAATTGAAGCATAAGCCTCATCACCAACATCCTCATGTTGATGATCACCTACAACACAATTTACACACATACAAAGAGAAACAAGGGAGTAGGAAACATCTCACTCAGAATAAGGTGTAAAAATAACCGTCAGGCAACACACACACAAATCATAACAAAGCACAACACAAAGCACACATTAATCAAACACAACTCAAGTCATACATACATTAGTAGCACATACACAGTCACTCATTATGCAATGATGTCATGGACTCAACTCACAAATGCATGCATGTGGTGCCAGTCACATATCACATAACTGGTGTGATGCCTAAACAACACACCTAAGGTAGTCTAGGAGTACATGTAGGGAGCTACCCATACACTCTCAACTAGAAGGATGTACTGCTAGGGTTTGGTCGAGATAGAGAAGCTGCACAAGTTACGTCTCATGCCCACAAACGGGCAGAATCGAGACATCCAAACTGCACTATCCCCTAGGACCCCCCAAGCTGTTACACAAGAAGAGCCTCCCCTAACGATGTACTCCATATCATACCCGTCACATAGATGCACATGATGCATGTCACACACTCACACTTTATTAACTCATCATTTCACTTGTCATAGTTACTCATATATCATGTCTCATTGTCACATATCATGTCTCCTATCTCATATTCACTTTTCACATTGTATCATCATATTCACATAGCGACTTCTTCTGGTCCAGAGTCCTTCTCTCTAAAACTTCTCTCTAAGTTCTCCTTTTCTTCCCCCCTCAACGCCTATTTATAGAGGTTCAGGAGTGGCCAGAACGACCTGTTCTGAATCCGGAAAAACCCGTTCTGCACCCTTTCATCATGTGCAAAAATCACATGCAGAACGGCCCGTTCTGAAATCAGAACGGCCCGTTCTGGAACTCATCCAGAACGACCCGTACTCCAACCAGAATGGCCCGTTCTAGGGTTTGGAATGCCCCGTTCTCGACTATAATTTATAGGCCTATTTAGTAGTCTGGAACGGCCCGTTCCAGTTTGGGAACGACCTGTTTTGGGCTACTAAATCACCCTTCTTCTAGTAGTTTGGAATAACGCCCCGTTTCAGTCTACCAACAGCGTTACACTAAAGGGAAACCCTAAACCATAAAAATTCAGGTTGTACCTCCTCAAGAACAGGTTGTTATTGTTGGGGTACATCGTCAATGACTTCAAGGGGAAACACTGTTTCGTTTCATCCTTGACTGTATAGTGTCAATTTGGTAGTATGTAGTTCACTCCAGTTTGACTAATAATGAAATAAAAATTGTTACCATTGTCCTTAGTGATACACTGCATCGTCCTTAATGGTACATTGTATAGCCCAAATGTTTAGCAATTGAAGTTATCAATCCCTATTAACAATATTACCAAATCTAGTGTTTGAAATGCTTTGTACTTTGGTTTTTTGTGCACGAAATTCTAGAACTAGAACGGCCCGTTCTGAAACCAGAACGGTCCGTTCTGGTTACACTGTTGGTGTGTTAATTTTGCATCTGGAATGGCTCGTTCCAGGTACAACACTTACACACCAATAGTGTAACCAGAACGGGTCGTTCTGGTTTCAGAACGGGCCG